AAATACACCCTTTATCGGTCCAGTTCTTTCATCGATAAAAAGGTAGACTTTTGCCACTTTGTATTGCCCGTGCACTCGAAGCCTAAAACCCCAAATTTCGGGGACTGAAGCACAAAGTGATTGTTGTCGAAGAGGCCTCTGCACACTGCAAGTACTTTCACAAACGTGAAAATGGGTTATTCACTCATCATTTGGTAGAATTTAATGAGACAGAGTAAATTGCGGCTTTGTCGACTTCTGCGCTGTGATCAAAGCATTTTTTGCAGGCAGGCGTAAAATTAAGTTGTAGGTCCACGTAAAGCACTAAAATCCACTGAATTCTACCATGAATGGCTCGCTGATTGAACATAATTGGAAGGTCGATTGCTTGTGAATCCGTATAGATTCGGGCGTGTGCAACAGATGACTTTCTTTCATTTCGCCTTGATCCAGTAAGTGGCTTGTAAGATATGTACTTTCTAGGGTAAAAATGTCTAGAAATACCACCCGTAATCGGATAGTAGACTGGCAATACTTGCGTTTCAAGGGCAGAGCTCCTGGCCATCATCATCGACAGATCTATAAGAAAACTTATCATCATTCTTCTGCATCACTACTTGATTTTCTCTTGCTCTTGTATTTTTTTTTCAAAAACATATAGTGTAGCTTGTTATTTGAGATACTCACTGTTTTGTTCTAGAGGCGATGTCATTACTTTCCCTTTTGAAAGACCTTAGCAAATTAAATAGGTGTCTCGCTACAAATGATAATAGCACTCGATTTCGTTACTTAAAGCACTGTTTGTGCTGCCCATTTTGCACAATTTCTTGCTGCAATTTGGTGCTGCTTCGACGTTTGGCCAGACACTTTATTGTCCACCTAGCGCAGAAGCGGTCAAGCCTGATGTTTGACGTAATGGGAAAATATGAAAGGGCACGTGACATTCCGTCGTGTCAGCGGCTGTTGACTGATACGTGAAATCTCAGGCACTTGTGCTTGGTCAGCTGCCTTCTACGGAAGGGATGCACATGCATGCCTTTCCGCCGCAATCATTCGTCTTTACCTCTAGCAACGCATATAATTACAATTTGATTATCCGACTTTCTCTTCGCATCCACGGGATAAACAATAAAGCCCGATTGCAGCGGCTCGAGACTTCTATTTAAGCAGCGGAAGCCATAACACCAGGATTCAAAACTTTTTGTCAGACAGAAAGGAAAGAGGTGGAGCTTATGCCACGACCTGAAGGCCAGTCCATTCGATAAAAGAATTCGGTTGTCAAAGCGACACTAAGGTCGAGAATGTGGTAGTGTCCATCTTGTTATTTTGGAAAAAACTTAATGCCAGTTAATATTTATTGTTGCGCTCAGGCGTTAACTGCCCCAGACCCATGAACTGGTACATTTCTGTCGATATGAGACCAAATATCGCCAATAGGAAAAGCGCGATAATTCGGTTATGCAGGATGTTTTTAACAGAATACTACCCGCTTGTGGTGAATATCTATTGTCTTAACGACCTCAGTCGATCATTGGTGCTTCCTTTACCTTTGTCTGACTAAACTAGTCTGCTTGAGGAGCGACTGCCGGCTTTCACCTCATCCATCACATTTTGAATGGATGGACCATAATAATAAAGCCTGGTCAAAGAGTTATCATCCATGCTTAATGCTCAGATGGATTAAAAGGACTAAAAATAATTTTTCCTGACACCACTTTAGGTGCCTACACCACTCCACAAAGGCAGTCATTTAGAGGGCGAGGTGCAGGTGTCGTGAAGTCGTGGTACACCTCACCCTTCGAATCGTCCTTTGAGGTGGCAACGGCATCAGGTGCATCGTCGCGGCGTCGAAACTGTCGCACTCTTCCACCATCCGCTACTGGCACTATGAAGGACGCTGCACCAATAATGACCCAGTCTGCCTGTTTCTCCGGCCAGATGGTCGACTCCGGTTTCGCTGACCCTTGACTAAGCCTCTTCATTCAATGATTTTCTGCCTAATTCCACTTGTCCTTTAATTTATGATCCCACTCTGTGTGTTTGTGTCTCTCCTACCTGCAAGCGCCAGCCACGACATTGTATATAATACTCTCAGATCATCGAGCTGCATGTCGTTTACCGCGTTCATTTTTTTTCTTCCCAAAGAGCATTTATTATTTACTTAAAGAAAAGGAAATGGTCTTATTCTGGTGCGATTATTTGTAGTCTCCTG